CACTGCCTAGAAAACGAGTAAAAAAACAATATGATGTAGCTGATCGATATTATTGATTGCCCCCTTGACTGATGACCCTTTGATTTATATTTTCTTCAATCCTCGCTGCGCGATTCACTTTGACTTGACGTCTTGACAAGTACCTGGCAACGTGCTCGCGATGCGCTATACACATGCACTTTATTTGCCAGTTTGGAGTGGAGTAGCCCCAAGTGCCAAGCCTCACGTCACAGCGACCAACTGCGCCATTCTAGTACGGGCTAGATATTTGCCGAGGACTAGAGCCTAGGAGAGAGAGAGCCAGGAGTCAAATATTTCGGTCACTTTTTGGTCTTCTCGTGTTAATGGTAAAAAACAAATCAAAGGCGGGCCTATAATGGGGGAGGGGGGAATAATCGAAGACAAAGAATGAGACCACTTATTTTAATTCCTGTTATTTTAGATAGTTTACATCTATTTGTAAAAAAAAAATAATCTCCTCGCACACTCACACACCCTCTCTCTTTTTCTCTCTCTCTCATACACACATACACACACACGCGCATGCGCGCGCACACACACACACACACACACACACACGTGATCAAACGTGTGCTATGGCGTACTAAATGTAAACAGAGAACTATTTGTCTGCATCAGAAACTCAAAGATCACTGCAACAGTAGGCCCGATTAACTGCCTGTATCAAGCCTGGTGTTATATTTAAAAAAAAAATGCTTTTAAATGTTTAGTTTATCACCAGCTTAGTCTATGTTTAAAGCAATAAAAGAAAAAAAAAAGAAAAATATTAATGCTTTGGTTATACTGTCCACGAAGTTAAATATTATAGCCCCATATTTTAATGTATTTATTTTATAAACCAGTGGTGGGTAAATTTAATGGTAGTAAATTAAATTGTCCTGAGTTAGGGTTTAACACATGTGTTTAATGTTGTTTTTTTTACGTCGTCATTGGTCAGTGTCCATTAAAATTAACTCGGCTTAAATTTAATTGTTTTGATTTGCGTTAAATATATTAGTGTAGTGTTAGCATTTAGGTTTATGTTAGGTTCGTTTTCTGTACCCTTTGCGATCGGTTCAGTGCTATTGTTAGTGTATCTATGTTTTCGGTGGGGTTTTTAGCGCAATTGCCATACTGGACAATTGCGATTATTAACTCGTCAAGGATGGATGTGTGTCCGATGTGTGTCCGCAGCTTTAAGTCGTATCTCCTCCTCAACGAAGCAATATCGAGGACTAGTTCCAAAAGCAAATATGTTAAGCAAGTTCCGAGGATGATTGTGGGCCAAAAAAATTCCCGGAATTCCTTCCTGGATTTCCCAGAAAAGCCAAAAAACCTCGGAAAAAATGCAGTTTTTGGCCCATATCTCGGCAACCAGACCACTTAGGGACTTGAAACATTTACCAATCGATTCCTTCGATAATTTAGAACAATATTGCCGAAGAAAGTTTTCAAAAATATTCTTTCGTTCGGTCACAAAAAATTAATTAAGGAAATTGCGCTTAAATTGTCACTAGACTTTTTATTAACTTGTTTTGTTTGTTGAGAATAAAACTAATTAAAAATAATCTTCCACGACATATAACTTTATAAAGAGCACCGTTTTCGAAGAACTGCGTTGTTTCTACTAATGTAACAAAACAATTTCGTATAGAAGATAAGAATCTGATAACCAGTCCATGCATGTACGCAAGTCGCCGCCTATGTATGATAGGAACAGCTGTAGCGATTTGTTGTGAAACTGAACTAGCTCCCAAACGTGGGTCGGTTTAAAATTGGCCCGTTGACACCTGACGATGCTAATCTGGTCACGTGATACTGGTCTGCAGGTTATTCTGGGATGATCAGCTCAGAGTTAGTCTGTCATAAAGGCATGTTACACACTCAGGCCGATTCATTAGAAATGAACATTTTAACTCTTAAAAAACGGACAATGTACTGACAAATTTTCTGCAAGTCTTTTTTTATATTCTGGACTATGATGATTTTCCGTCGGTAAGATTTTATTTTTAATTTCCTTCTGACTAATAATAGACACGCTTAATAACTGACACGGTAGTCAAGAAACTAATTAGATTAATGACTCAAAATAGAGAATAGCACAAAAAATGAGCGTTTTAAAATATTCAAATAATACAAGCATAAAAAACCTGTATAATAATAAACGCTAAAAATGAAAATACAACTTATCTATTTCTTTAATAAAAGCATTGGTAGCCAAATTGTGAAATTGTGTAGGAGATTTAATGAACGGCCAATGCTTTCAATAACTAAAGCAAATTAGTTTTATTAATCTTATTTTCATCGCATTTAAAACTTTATTATTATAACGATTTTTATACTTGTTTTGTGTTCCGCATTTTAGTAATTCGTTTTAAGTTAAGTTTACACATCCAGTGTTTCTTCCAGACTTTTTTTCTCCGGTGGGGGGGGGGGGGACCTGAAATTTTTTTTTTTGGGGGGGGGGGGGAGGGAAAGATAGACTTTCTTCGAGGGGGGGGACACTGTTAATAGTATATATTTTCTATATACATTTCATTTCGTTCGGGGGGGGGGGGGGGGGCGCCGACCCCCCCCCCCCCCCCCCCCCGAAGAGATGCCTGGAAGAAACTCTGTACACATTATACGACTAAAACATTTAATAACCGATCAGTAGCTTGCAATCTCTAAAAGACAAGTTAGTATCCTCCCCTTTGTAGTCAGTGTTCGACGCTCATGCAGATATTTAATCATTTAATTACTGAAATTAATAATCTTTTAATTACATTTTAAAGACGAATCTAATAAATAGTTAAGACAAAATTAGATATTATTGCGCTGTATTCGGAGACGAACATATCTGGAAAGTTGGAACGAAATCGTTACATTAGAAGTGGGCCAAACTTAAATTGCATGATTTGTTACAAAACAACAAGCAAACAGCAAGCAAACAAACCAAAAAGCAGTGTGAACTTAATACAAGCTTGTGAATGGTAGACCACAGCTTTTCCCCATTAAAAATAAAAGGCAACGACAAATTTTATCGTTGCAGTAGCTATAACGACGTAAGTTATGATCAACATGCATCACATTTTCGGACAATATCTGTTATTGTAAGAGATTCTGAAGTGTGTTAGCGGGTGGGTCGTCCATAAGGACATTAGGGTGGAGGGATAGTCGTTTGAAAATTAGTTAATACGGTTAAGGTTTTTTTTTTCAGAGCACATCATTATAATTGTATAGGATGCATCGTGAGATTTGTGTGGCGAACAAATGATTTGATGATGTCGCGCGTTTTTAACTTGTCAATAACCAAGGCTATATTGGTGATACATTTGATGTGTGGATATCAACCCAGTCTCAACTACCACCCCTCCATTCAGTCAACATGATTCCATAAAAGTCGACATTTGTTGTATTCCCCCCCCCCCCTCTCGACCATATGAATTCATAACTAGATGACCCATATTGTATTATACGGGTTAGGGAATATACAGAATCTATAGATTCAAGACTTTTCTTTGATCTTCTGTATTCTAATTTCTTTTAATATTCAGAATGGTTGCATGAATAAGCTGCACAGCAGGCGTACCCATCCTAATACACATTAACGGCTCTACAATAACTTTTCTAATGACGTACCATTTCGGTCATTTATTGACAATAACAATTCATTAAGTGCCTAATTGTGTCGGGTCTAAATGGGCTACTATTGTTGATTGATTTGTGCACGATTCATTGGGTTAGACGTCCCATTCGTTTGTGTATGACACTTTATGTTTCACTATTTAAAATTTGTTAATATAACATTTTGGCATTAATATCTCAATTAGTTATTGCGTAAAACATCAACATCAGTCTTAAATTGTAATATTGAAGGGGATTTTCCACAAAGTTCAATTACGTATTATGTGTCGACGTGTTATGCGGCATATGCAGTTTCTTCCAGGTCGAAAAAAGTCTACCCCCCTTCCCTCGAACGAAATGGAATTTATATAGAAAATATATACTTTTTACGGTGTCTCCCCCCCCCCCCCCCGAAAATTTTAAGTGCCACCCCGGAGGGGGGGGGGGGGAGAAAGACTGGAAGAAACACTTGGCATATGGTCTGTTAGCTCTGACTTCAGCCTGCTTTTTTCCCCTGCTGTCTTTACTTCCATACCCTTTGTCTAACCAAGATCAAACTACAGGGGGGGGGGGTCCAATTTTTTACCGTGGACAAACTTTCGATTTGCACCCCCCCCCCCCCCTCAAACTTTCGATTTGCACCCCCCCCCCCCTCAAACTTTCGATACTTTTTATATATATACCGAGGGGTCTATGGGGGGGGGGGTATGACCCCCCTGCCTACGCCACTGTACAGCAGTCGCCGAGCTATGGTTGTATACAGTGACGTCATTTGGTCGCGATCAACCTTGGAAGGTAACTCAAGATGTCACTTTCCCCACAACAATTTTGGATTTTTTATTTATTTTTTTTAAACCCACTGCTTAGGCCTATTATTTTAACAGGATTGAATAGTGTTTGTAAATTTTTTTTTTTTACACCCAATGCTTATTATTTTAACAGCATTAAATATTGTTCGTAAATGTTTTTAAAATATTGTTTGTACATTTTTTTTTACACACACTGCTTATTATTTCAATAGGATAAAATATTGTTAGTAAATTTTTTTTTAAATCAAATGCTTATTGTTTTAACTGGATAAAATATTGTTTGCTAATTTTGGATTTTTTTTTCTAAGAGTGTATCCCATCAATTCCCCAGCCCATCCCTCTACATTATGACGATGTTTTTTTTTTTCGACAGCATTTTAAAATGTCTAGCTACAGTCAAAGCGTAAACATTTTGGATTTTAAAAATTAATGATTTTAGGCCTACAGAAACAATTAATTCTACTTTCATCCATAAAAATATGCTTATTACATAAATTTAAATGGACTTCTTCTGACGAGGAGCTAAGTCAAAGTTCATGGTACTGGTTAAAAATTGAGAATCTAAAACGATTTTTTTCCATACAGGTGGACGGGTAGAATATTCTGGAAAGGCTATCATCACACCCTCGATGAAGCAGACGTGTACGATGTTCTCCCCCAAGACAGAACGGTCAAATTATCAAATAATCTTGCCAGGTAGGTTAACGTCTTATTTTTTAAATTTTGTTTCGTTGAAAAAAAAATCGATTTTAAAAAATATTGTTATTTTAGTCTGCTCATTCAGTATCACAACAGTCAACATACACAAGTTCAATATTAGGCCTAGTTAAGTAAATACTGTCAAATTCATTGTTATAACTAGTATGATAATTTTTTTTCAAAGTGAGGATTGCATAATAATAAAGTTAATCTGAGTATATATAAGGACTTGCTAAAAGGATAGTGCTTACTTTAATATAGAATCAAATATAATAGTTCTGCATCTATTTATGAATGTTAGGTGCTTGAGTAGTGTCCCTTGAATTATAAATGTAAAAAAATAAATTTCGATCGGCATATTATTTTCAAACTTGTGACTTGAAACATAAGACATTAAAAAGCTAGTAAAAACAGAATATGATTACTATTAGTGCCAGTACAATAGGGCATATTTTATTTAAAAATCAATTAGACTACTTCATACTGGCGAGTGTGTGATTTTGTATGTGTGTGTTACAATTTTTTTCATATATATGACAGCTTGCCTTAGTTAAGTTAAGTTAAGTAAAACTACGGTTTCACGCATGCGTTTTTATGCATACGTTTCCTAAGCATAAATAAAAATGACTGCATTTTTACAAGACTAGTATTTTTGCAGAGGCCATTAAAAAGCCACCCCTGCCAAAATGGTAAACGGAAAAAAAGTCACAGGAAAAAAAAACACAAAAAAAAAGTCACAGTTTTTGCTAGGAAAAAAAGTCACAGAAAAAAAGTCACAGTGGAAAAATTTTATCGGAAAAAAAGTCACAGAAATAAAGTCACAGAAAAAAAGTCACAAAAATCTTTTTAGAAATCTTTTTATTAATTTGTTAAGAATTGTAAATTTTGTATGTTTATTGTTGTGGGTTGTATTTTTTGATAGCATAAATTATTTATAGACGTTAAAAGCATTATGATTTATAACAATTGTAAGTAAAAATACTCTAAGATAATTAACATAACAATCTCAACTTTTGTTACGTATTTAGTTAAATACGCGGTAGAAAAGTTAACTATAAAAGAAATTTAGGCACATTTTGCTGTAGGCTATTCTCTGGTCGGCCTCTCCTCGGTAGGCATTGTCCGAACATATTTGTGTTGTTGACGTTATACGTCAATGACAGCCTTTGAACCTTGTCGGCTTTCTGTTTTGATCCTAAGTTTTGTTATGTAATGAGCGTGATTAATGTGGGCAGTAAAGGTGGTTGAACTAAACATAACTATTGTTGCCATGAGTTGAGGGCAGTAATTCAGATGACCTTACCATTTCACGGTAATTTAATTAAAAAAAACACGATGAAAACTGTGGACATTCTATTAAATGCTATAAATATTATGTTTAACATAATTACAATCTACATAATTCATACTAAATATTTTTAGATGAATTATAAAAATTACTAGGCGTATACAACCTACACACTTTACATTACATTTAATTAATCCTAAGTTAATTTGCACTCTCTGAATATTTAATACATAAAAGTATTATCAAATTCAATGCAAATATATATTTGTGACTTTTTTTCCTGTGACTTTTTTTCCTGTGACTTTTTTTCTGTGTTTTTTTTTCCTGTGTTTTTTTTTCCTGTGACTTTTTTTCCTACAATCGCCAAAATCTGGCAGGTTCCTGAAACAATTAGAATTGTTTTATTTTCACGTAATAGTATTTTACTCTTTTTCAACAAACATGTTTATATATATATATATATATATATATATATATATATATATATATATATATATATATATATATATATATATATATATATATATAGCCTACATATATGTATTTAATGTATTTATAGTCTATATATATGGGCCTATACAATTTGGCTACATATTAATTTTTTTTAAACTATTTTTTATAATTATTAACTGTTGCCTTGACTTATATTTAAAATATTGTTACTTTTATCCAATCAGACAATGGGAAAAGGAACTTTATAACTACAAAACTGGAGGAAGGCCAAAGCTGACCAGAGCCCTATGGAGATGTTACCGCACACAAATTTTGACTTTCACGCTCCTCATATTTCTAGAGGTAGTAGATTTAGGTCTATGCTCTATTTTCTTGATTAAGACTGATAGTAGTTTAAAATCTATAGGCTACTAAAGACAAACATTGGATTCTTCTCATCGTTATGATAAGGTGTCGGATTAGGTTGGGTTTTTTTTGTAATAAGAATAACAATCTAGATTTAAATATTATTTCTACAATTTCTAGTACCACTAGCCAAGTAACTTAACATAACATAAATACAGAAGAGATCTTGTATTACAACTGACTACAATTTACTATGCCTAGATATTAATATTATATGATAAAGTGTGATTCTTTCAAGCAAATAATAGGAAAAAAGAAATTGGCAATAGAAAAAATATATTACTCTTAACTACTTGCAATTTTTAGGAGTGTAATAATAATTCTGCTTGAAAATTAAATAAAACAGTATGACAAGACTGAGAAGAACATGTAAATGTATAACTAAATAACACTTTTGAAAAACTTGTAAAAAATTGTAACTTCCCTTAACTCACACAGCTTTATTGGATACCCAGTTTCAGGGGAGTTAACTGGCCATAAAGCTAGCCACTTTGTATACCTTAATAGTTCTCATTCTTTTATTAAATTTTACCTGTTTATTTGTAATGTCAGGGTAAACAATTTTTAACCTTGGCTAAACAAATAAATAGCCAGAGTTATATAAAACAGTGAGTAGTAATTGCTTATTTATTCTTTCTTAGTTGGGCAATAACATTTAATCAATACTAATATGTTAATAAATATTTTGAATATGTAATAATTTAATCTTGTTGTTCACTTTTCAAGGAATGCATTCGTTTAGTCCAAGCTGTGCTTATGGGAATGTTTATCCAGCTTTTTGAGGTTGATGACACCCAAAACAACACAATGACCTTTGCCAGCACTAGAAGCAATCAAACTATCGCCAGACCAGACATCTTTTTACTCATCACATTCATCATCTTGTCCTACCTAGTCAGCATTTTCCTTGATCACAATTTTTTCCATCATGGTTATAGGATGAGAGTGGCTACCACGTCATTAATATACAGAAAAGTGAGTTGAGATGAAATTTTTAAAATTATTATATATACCTATGGAAAAGTTGAGTTCGAATCCAGGTTCAAGTCAGTAGACCGTCCCTGAGTCCGCCCAACTATGATGGGTACCTAAAGCATGTTAGGGAAAGTAAAGTAGTTTTTTATTCTAAATTAATGGGGAGATGGCAAAATTAATAGGGAAGAAATGGAAGGCAATGGTGGAGGCCCTATGTTCCATAAGGAGCAAAGAGGATTAAGTCAAGTAAGTCAACGGGGTATTCCAGATAGACAAAATATTTGGCAAACCTATATTTCCATGCTCTGTATGTTTCCTTGTTCTGAGAAATTGCTCTTATTACCGACCATCTTACATCATTACAAAAAGCCATCAGAACCCATCCCTAAAATGATGTCACACATCAGCCTACAAACCCCCTCCCCCATTTTTTTCTATAGCAATTTGAATTTTTTTTTAAAACATCAATTTGTTTGTAAAATATCAACTGAGCTCAGTCAAAATAAAGTAAATCAATCAATTGCTACTATAATTCACAAAAAGTGTAAAATAGTAGGAAAAATTCAGTCTTTAACAATGCAACAGTGTGACATCACACTTTCTGACCCCCCCCCCCCCCTTCCACCTCATCATATCTCATGACAAAATCCAAACACACTTCCCCCCTAGGAGTGTAATGTTTCATGGATGACCCCTAAGTCTATATAACTAATGATTAATATTTATATTTTTAAGGCTTTACATATTGCACATGGCTAAGTTAAATAAATAAAAATAAAAAATTGTTTTAAACTGAATCAATCACATAAAACTATTTTCTTTTTTTCAACATATTTTGCATGTAACAGCTGGTGGCCAATGTTGGTGCAACAGCTGAAATATTTATTCTCTTGTTGCAAAAATTTAGACAAGTTCAATGCAGGTGCTACCATAGAATAAGTGGTATATTGGGGCCAAGTAGTAATTTATATGTATGGGACTACTGAATTCAATAACTCACTGGGGGGTCGGTGTGGTAGACTCCGTCAAGCTCATGGCTGCTAAACTGAAAAGTCTCGAGTTTAAACCCTCTGGCAGATGAGGCTCATTAGCTGGGGACAGCCACTCTTCTAGGAGAGACAACTCCAAAATTAAACAAGTGCTGCCTTGTAGTTTGTTCTGGGTTGGACAAAGGCTATGGAAGCAAATCCAAAAAGAAAAGCAGGCTGAAATCTGAGACAATGGCCTCAATGGTGAATAACCAGTTGACACGTATACTTAATTATGTTGGATGGGATCCCTTTCAATACTAAAATTAAGAACGAAGAAGAAGAATAACTCACCAATAAATAAATGTTATTTTACAGGTAATGAGGATGTGCAGCTCTTCATTGAAGCCTGCAACCATGGAGACAATTATGAATCTTGTTACAAAAGAAATGGATGTTTTCCCAGTGGTAATGTAAAATAATTAACTTTGGTTACAGCCATATTTGGAATTTAAAAAGTTATAATGTATCAAAAGTAAAAGTTGAGTACCCTTGTAAATAGTTCTTAGGACAGATGAAGGAGAGTTTATCTATTTTGTTGCGCAGCCTCCTCCCCTTTCCATCCACATAAAAGAAGAGTAGTGTGGTCAGTACTTAGCTTAGAATGTTACTTTTTCTGATTTGTCAATTACACATCAAAACTGGGTTCTACTAACTTGAGCCCAAGAATTGATCAAATAACTTTAATATCAATTATAAGTGTGCATCATCACTCTACCAAGCTTTTCCATGTGGTATTAATTTTTATTCTTAAAACTTTATAAACTTATTTATAAAACAGTTTTTAAGATTGTACAATTAATATTTTGTCAAAATTTTGCTTTTTAATTAGGTGGTGTTACCAGCAACTTATATTATGATTGGACCAGTACAGTTAGCAGTCACATGTTATCTGCTCTGGGATTGGTTAGATCTAGGTCCAGCTAGTGTTACAAGTTTAATCATTCTGTTCTTCATGTTTCCTTTACAAGTCATCATGGGACGCCTATCTCGAATACTAAGGTATGTTGGCATATCATCTTGGCATACCTTACTTTAACATCATTTCTAATTTATTTTGATTAGAAAATTATTGAGTGCCGTAACTTTTGATCTTTTGACAGAGAAAGACTGGACAGCCTTACCAACAGTAGGCTTCGACATCTTCAGCTGGTTATATCTGGACTGGAAGAAATGAAAACTTCTAATTTAGGAGAGTTCTGTGTGAAAGTAATTGGCAGAGCAAGAAAGTAAGAATAAAATTTATTATAATTAAATTATTTTTCATTTGAAATAAAATTTCTTTCCTATTCACTTTATTTTTCAAACTTAAAACATAAACACCTCTTCTGCTTTATTTCTAGAGTGCTCTGATGCATTTCTGCTTTCAAAACCTCATAAAATGGAAATATTTAGCAAATGTTACAGGAAATGAATCATTTTAATCAAAAGCAGATTAAAGAAATGAAACCCTAACTGTCCTCAGAAAATACTTTGGAATAAACCAACAGCCATGTTTTGTATTTATTTTTATTTTTTTACAATCCACAGAGCAGAACTAAACCTCATAAGAAAACTCTCCAGACTCCAAGCTTTTAACAGCTCCATGACCCTGACCTCTGGCAAGGCCGTTGTCATGGCAACGTTCGTGCTGCTGGTGGTCATGGGTCATGACATAAACGCAACCAAAATCTTCACAACGCTGGCCCTGTTGGAGTCACTGAGAGTGAGCATGAGCATACTGTTGCCAGCTGGCATGTTGGCACTGTCTGACACCTTGGCCACACTCAGGAGGGTGGAGGTGAGTACTTTCATACTTCTTCATGCTTGCTCTCTTAGACACCCTGAACACACTAAGGAGGGTGGAGGTGAGTACTTTCATACTGCTTGCTCTCTTAGACACCCTGACCACACTTAGGAGGGTGGAGGTGAGTACTTTATGAAAGGTTCTATATGTTTATATTGGCCATTAGATGATTTAAGGGACGGCATGGTCAAATTGTAGAGCATTCAACTGCAAACCTGAAAGTCTCTAGTTCGGATCTCAGACTCCAGTCAGTGGGACGTCCCTTAGTCTGTCCTTCTCTGATGGGTACCTGACCTAGATTAGCAAAAGTGAAGGCTGCTGGGTATAGTGCAGACCACTTTTCCTTCATATTCCAAGGTCACTGAAACAGTTAGCTCTACTTCACCTGCCCCATGAACTATATGGTTTGAAAGGGTACTTTACTTTTATTAGATGATTAGTTTTAGTTAGCCTGCCATCTCACTAGAAAATAGACTGCTGACCATGAACATTCTAGGCAAATCAATCCTGAGCTAATTTCAAGTAGAGTAAGCACATATGATTTGTTTGTTCTTCATAACATGGGAATAAGATGAAAACTAATATTGTTTTGTATCCATGGTTACCGCAAGAGATGGTAATCTTGAACTAAGTCCAGTGAAACATGTAAAGCTTGAATTGATTACTTATTGCCTGATTGTACACTGGTAAGGTTTGCAAGGCTTGATTGGCTAGGTGAATCAGTGCAGCTCTGTAGGGATTATCAGATTAGCCATCTGTTGGGTGAATTTAAAGGCTTTGGAAATAAAATACCATTACGAGCTTTTAAAATTACGAATTTATCATTGAAGAAATGTTACTATTAGGTGTGCATTGAGCAGCTTAAATGTTATTTTTTTAAATTAGTTTTTTTATTCATTTTAATGTATAACTTTGAAATGGAATTTTATAAGTATTCTCTGGGTTTGTAATGTTTACAGAAAGTGCTACTGCTGCCAGAAAAGTCATCTGCTCTAAGCCGGCCCTCACCCGTGGCACTGAATGAGGAGACTGTTGTCAAATTCAGCAACTATTTTGCTAGCAAAGACAAGGTTAGTTTGATTTGTAAGATATGGCTTTGAAGAGAGCATGCATAAATTTTGAATCTACTAAGGACCAGTAACTCAAGGCAAAAAAAAACTTCAAAAGAATAAACTGTCAGATTTAGTAAGTTTTTCCCTTATACAATAAGACAGAAAATTAGATGCATTTTACGTTATGTTTACTATTTAATATACATACACATAAAATCCTATCTACAATGTCCATCAAATTGATCACAAGGCAGGTGGCCTCATTAGCCAATATGTTTTACCTCTCTAGAATAATATTTTAGTACTTGTCTTTAGTATTTAATGATTTAAAAAACTAAAAGAAAAGTGACATACATAAATTTTTGTATTTCAGAGTTTTGATGCCCAGATGGTGCTAGTCAATATTGATGTGGATATAGAAAAGGTAAAATTGTAACCCAATGTAGCCTATATTATTTAATGCAGCAGGACATTATTCATCTATAAGTTTATATTATCCCCCCCCCCCCAAAAAAAAAAAACTGCAGCAAGACTCCAAAATTATAGTATTTTACAGAATACAGGGTTTCTCACTCTACCCATATCATGTAAAAAAAATTATTCCCAAGGGGTGTGGGGTTTAATTGACAAGTGGCCAATTAACCAAGGATCATCCTAGACCCATTATTATAATATACTTCCATTCTGTTTTTAATGATCTTTAAGGCTAGTTAGAAAAGTTACATCCTTATTTCAATGTTGTTTCCTTTTAAAAAGATGTATGTAAAAAAAAAAGACTAAGTATAAAATTAAAATGATGTTAACATTGAAAGAACTATATTCCAATTCACATTTGTAGAGCAAACTTTACTGCATTATTGGACCTCCAGACAGTGGCAAAGTAAGTTTTAGTTCTGTGTTTTTTCAAATTGTTGATTTGTAACAAAATGTTTAGAGAAAATTGACTAACACAGATTTATAAATAGTAATATTGTAAAAAGAACAGTGATTGAAAACATTAGTTGAATTTATACATTTTGTAAATTCATGGCTGTTTCATAAAGGCATTAAATGAAAAAATTAATAAAAATATGTTTTCAGTAAAGAATAGGGTATTTTTATAAGGCTTTTATGAAGACTGTAGTTCTTTTAAAAAAATAACATAATTTTCTACCAACTAACTCATTTTCTTTTCTTCAGAGTTGCTTTCTTCTGGCAATACTAGGAGAACTTGAGAGACACAAAGGGCATATCTTTTATGAGGGCAAACTAGGATATGTGCCAGCTAGGCCTTGGCTGTGTCCTGGCACCATACGTGACAATATTGCATTTGGTTCAGAGTTTTCTCATTCCAGATATACTCAAGTGCTAAATGCATGTGCACTTAATCAGGTAAAACTGAGCATTTTAGATTTTCAGACACTTTGACATAGTAAAAATGATAAATAATTTTTAGATCAGTGATAATTTGAAATTCAGGATCTTTAGTACTACAAGTTTGGTTTTAATTTTCACTTAATATAAAAAGTTGTTGATTAGAAAAAAAGCCCAATATCATTGTATTTAATTTGGATAAGTAAAATTGTAAAAATTGTGTACTGTATAGAAATGTTGGTTTGGCTATAACTGTGTACTTAAGTTAAACTTTAGTTTTGTTTTTAACTTTTACTTACATATGTATGAATCATTTTCTGTGCTGGTGTAAATTCAGCACAATTTCATCATAATTTGATGAAGTATCCTGTCTGTATGTTTAGTTGCTTAGTTTAGTTTACCATTAATTATTTTAGGTGGTTGATTCTTTGCCACTTAGAGATCAGACAGTGGTTGGGGAAAGAGGTCTGGCCCTTGACCCCAGCATTCAAGCCAAGATAACTCTAGCAAGGTGAGGCTGCTTTGTTATGTTTGTTTAGTCCCTTTGTAAACAAGAACAAAAAATTAATTCTGTTCACTCTTAACAGTAGACATTATCGTATTTTTTTTGTCTGATTCCTTTTTTTATTACTTTCTATTCTTAGGAGTAATTGGATGTTTGCTAAAAATGTTTGATAAAGCTGTATATGTGCACTGTTTATTTACAGAGCTGTGTATCAAAACTGTGATATTTATCTAATCGATGATATTTTAAAAGGAATGGATGCAAAATCAGCTATGCATATATATAAAAAGTAAGTTCACCTTGTTTAACTGTATATATATATATATATATATATATATATATATATATATATATATATATATATATATATATATATATATATATATATATATATATATATAGTACTGACAAAATAAGAGAAAAAAAAAATATTTTTAGGATCAAGGGTCACTTCCAAAGGCTGAGGACAAAAAAAATTCAATAGCGTATTTTTAACATACATGAGCTTCAAAAATAAATAGTGAAATAACATGTTTTCTTTAACAGGTGTATATGTGGACTTATAAGATCTAAAACAAGACTAGTTATAACTGACAACACCCAGCACACACAGGTGGCTCACAAAATTATCTTAATGTCTCAGGTAAAATCAAATTAGCAGAGAATATTTTAGGTGGCTCACAAAATTATCTTAATGTCTCAGGTAAAATAAAACTAGCAGAGAATTTTTTTTTAAAAAATCTGTTTAATAATTCAATCAGGTGGATTGAATTTTAAATTTAAATTGAATTTAAAATTTAAGTTGGATGATCTGCAGTAGGCCTACATGATATTAGAATTGTGTTGATTTTCCTTGTTTGAAATTGTTAATTAATTCTTATATAGATAGAATAATGGATTGTAAACATTTCAGTCAATGAGATGTAAAAAAGAAAGCTAGTCAGAGTTAATATTTTATCAAACATTCCACCAGAGTAGAAAAGTTTAGGTAGAAATTCACTGGTTAGATAATACTTACAATTTTATAAATATCATTAAATATTATCTAATTGTGTTTTTACAGTGTAGAATACATCATTTTGGTAACTACACTGAACTTCTAGAGTGCGGTGTGAATATCAGCAAAATTCTGACCACTAGATCATACAAAAATCTGGAAAGAAGCAGAATTGCTGACTCAGCTTCTCCGCTTATCCAGGACCTCTCTAGCACCAACCTAGCCCTCAGTTTGTCTTCTAATACTCTCAATGGAAATGGAAAAGACACTACGTCAGGGTCAGCGTTTGACATCCTACAAGCAGATTTTAAGGTAGTGTGATGAGCAAATGTTAGTACACTCAAGAAATGGGTTCTATATTGGTAAACACCAGTGATATAGCACTCATACAAGATAACATTCCTGTTTAGACCTAACAATCCATTGGGCAGATGGAGTTCATTTGTTTCTTTACCTCAGCATATGGTGGAATGGTGTGGTCATCACTATGCCTAGCTGCCTTTACTTTCCCAACATAAATCAGGTAAACCTCAGAGCAGTGATATTGCAGAGCAGTGATATTGCTCCTTTAAGGGCAGGCTATTTTTGCTGCCTGGTGTGACCTGCTGTTCATTGATAGAGTGCATTCACACTTTAAACATTTTCTGATCTTTTTAAAACAAAATTAGAAATATAAAATTGTTTTTTATTTTAAAAAAAAACCCACTAGTTTGCGGTTAAGAATGATTTTAAAATAATTCACGTGATGTAAAAAGCTACAATCACTTATGATGATGCATTCAATTGGAAACCTGAATTTTAACTTGGGGTTCAATAAAACACATTTTCTCCGTTGTTACAGATACTAAACTCTCAAAGGAAGTTTTAAACATGTATATTTAATACAAGTAATTCTAATCAACTAATTAAGTGACTGCATGCTCTTTTATAAAGTTTATTTCCTATGTAAAGACAAATATTAAATGGTTTATTTATATCTCAGGAGTCAGGTGACCCACTGATCTCCAGTGATGGAGATAGCAACCACAGTGGCCCATTTCATAAGAGATCAATTTACACCACCTACTTCTTGCTTGGGGGTGGAATTTTTGGCATTTTCTTTTTTACCATTATCAGCTTACTTGAGCAGGTAAGTGAGAATATGAATTACTCCAAACCCTTTTTTGTTTCCTTTTTTTTTCTTTTTTTAAAATACTTTTTTCTTTTCAAGTAATGACTATATCAAATGACTAATGTTTTATTAATTAACTTGAGTAAACATTATAATTTACTAAAATAATAAAAATGTATATTTAATGTGTTCTCAATTTTTAGGGTGCCTTTGTTTTGTGTGAATGGTGGTTGGCTTATTGGTAAGTCAATTATATTTAGGTTTTAATCTTTTTTTATTAAAAGCTGGGAGATTATAAAAACAAAATTTGCTAAAATAATTGCTACTTTTTTAATAAATGAAGAAAATACAAACCTAAAATTGAATGCTCTCCCCTTGTTACCAGGTCCGAGAACTACCAGAACACAAGTGCCAATGTTTATTATGAAAACCCTTTGATAGGACAAGCAACTTCCTCCCTGGACTACCAGATTTATGTTTACATTGGTATTGTGGCAGTGACCATCCTACTTGGCCTTCTGCAAGCCATTGTGTTTTATGCTTTGGCCCAAAAGGCAGGCTGGCTTCTGCATGATCTGGCAATAGGATCTCTGCTACAGGCACCACTTTCTTTCTTTGATGCAAACAGTAGAGGTTAGTACATCTATTTATCAAGTGTTATCGTTTTTTAATTTACTAAAGAAAATATGTTAAACGAGCCGACCCGCTGCGTATCATACGCCGCTATTTAGTTGTTTTTTTTTCTACTTTTCAGTAATTTATAATTTGTGAATTCGACAGTACCAATGCTGCCACTGAAAATATTTGCTTAAAAACACTAAACCCCCCTTCCCCCCCCCCCCCCCACATGAAAGCAGCCTCCTCTTAGTTACCTCCTCTAAGTTTAAAATTGTTTCAAACTAAATTATCTGCCCCTAATAGCCGTCACAGAACCCGTCTCTATGATTATAAAATGTAAACAGCGTGACCACAGCTCACCAGACAATGTGAGGGTGGGGTGGGGGTGGTAGTGATAGTGATAGAGAGAAAGAGAGGGGACTGCAAGGAGGCGCTTGCAGCTTGTTTTCTAACGGCTCCCAGAAGAGAATTATATATATAGATATCCAGCAAATAGTGTAGTCCTTCTAAAATGTTTTTTTTGTAGTTGGCTTTTAAAATAGTACACTACACTATGTAGGTTTGTATACAATTTATTTTTTAAGTTTGTCGTAAAGATTGGTTTTCATTAATTTTCAGATGACTTTAACACCTTGTCAAATTCATTTAATATTACTTTTATTAACATGGCACTAATTTTTTTAAAATAGTTCTTTCTACTCAAAGTAGAATAAAAAAAAACAATTAAACTTTTAAAAATTTCAGTTACTTAACGGACCCCTTGCTTGACCTTTAGTCATGCCAAATAAGGATAACATTTTTTTTTATAACAAACAATTTAATAAGCAATTAGCACATTCAGTTTTATTTTTGAAAAACTGAAAAAAAAAAAACTATGATTAATTAAAATTATTCCAGGGGGAGTACTCAGTCATTTCTTGAGGGACGTTGGAATCGTGGATTCATTACCGCCTGTCTTACTTGATCTAATAGAGGTATTTTAGTTAAGTTTTCTCTTGATGTCAAGGATATAACTTAATAAACCTGCTTTATTTAAAACCAATGGTTATGTATAAGTTTATTGCCTATGTAGAACAATTTAATTTTATTGCTGCAAGAAAGGAATAATTGATTATTTTCTATACATTTTTAGAATCCTTAAAATCACTTTTGCATGTTAAGGAACATATTTCTCTCTTTCTCTCTCAATATATATATATATATATATATATATATATATATATATATATATATATATATATATATATATATATATATATATATATATATATATATATATATATATATATATATATATATATATATATATATATATATATAATATGTTTTGTTTTTCAGTCAATAAGTGTCCTGCTAGCCACATCCCTTATAGTATGCTGTGTCAACTACTGGCTGTTTATTCTGATCATCCCTTTACTTTTGCTGTTCATGTGGGCAAGGGATAGATTTCACAAAGCTACACAAGATGTGGAGCGCATTGAACTTGCATGTGAGACTTATGTGCTAAATATAACTTGTTACTAGTGATGAGATTTTGTTGTATCTAAATTGTCAATTTTTTACAATGAGTAAAAATAAAGTTAAACTAGTTAAAAGTAAATTTTATGTAGTAAATGTGGAGTATTAAACAAATTGATTACAAAAATAAATAAGGCTAGCTAAATAAATTTAACAACTAATTATGTTAATTAACAAAATGAAATACCTAAATAAATATAATAGCTTGATAAATGAGTGAAGAAAAATATCTGTGGCTTTAAGTTAATAAATTACACAAATTAAACAAATGTTAAAAAAGTAATGAAAAGAAATTAGGCTAGGTAACTAACTTAACCTAATTATATTAATTACTTAAATGAAATACCTATATTAATCTACTAGCTAGTTAAATGTATAAAGAAAAAGAAAACTAATATTAAATATTAAATTAATACATTAAATATATAAATTTAATGTTTATATAAGTAACTAAAAACAAAAAAAATAATTTAAAAATAACTAAAAACAAAAAATATTTTAAAATATTAAGGAATAAATTAGTTAAAATATATTGCTCTAGCCAAAAGTGCAGTGGCAGCTCATGTTGTGAGCAGCATGGAGGGCATACAAACCTTGAGATCCCTGAATGTGGAGCAGAGGTTCCTACACAAGTTTGATGTGTACCAGGACAGAAGCACTGCTGCATGCTACCTTCACCTTGCTGCCAACAGGTAGGATTTTACTGTGTTACCTGTAATGAAAAATTCTTCTTTTTTCCCCACAAATGTTCTGGGTTTTAGTATGATCTCTAAATGGTTTTCTGTAGAAATCATCTTTCACATAATCTATTATGTAGAAATTATCAAAATGATCCAACTCTTGTTTAATAAAGCAAAATGTGTCTTTTATTGACAATTATTTTTTGTGCTTTAATCAAAAGGAAAGCAAATAATTATATTTTGTGATTTATTCTTTTTTTGTGCATGCTTTAACCATAATAAAAAGAGATATTTTTGAACTAATTTTAACCAATTTCTCAGGTGGTTTGGGATCCGAGTTGATCTGATTGGGTTAGCCATTGTTGCTGGTGTGGTTGTAGCAGGCTTCCTTGTTGTTGAAATACAAGGTAAACATATCTGATACACTTTAATTGAGAATTTATTTTTAATTGAATCAAAAAAATTAGAAGATTATAGTTTATTTTTTCTTTTAAAAATCTGCTATAATATACAAAGCACTTGAATGATTTGAAAAAAAAATTATTAGATAATATGGTAGGCCTAAATAGTAATTATTTAATAAATAATTATTGAGTAAAAAAATTAATTATATTAATATAAAAAAGCAATAATATGCAGTTTTTTTTTATAACAGAATTGTACATACCAGCATCCTTGATTGCTTTGTCACTTTACTATGCCATCAACCTTATCAACGTTAACCAGTCTGTCATTCGCAAATCAGCTGCAGTACACTTTAAGGTATGGCACAAAAGTCGCCACCTTTTAACATCTTTTTTTATTTTGATAAATATTTGTTTTGTTTATTAACATTGTTGCAATTAAACTTTTTCATCCCTTAGATGAACTCAGTTTCCCATCTCTTGCAATACTACCAACTGTCACCTGAAGTGCCAGTCATTGTAGAGTCAGATACACCAACCCCTTTGGGTTGGCCCAGATATGGAATAATAACATGTGAAGGGGTCTCTGTTCTTCTATCCAATGGTGCACCAGCCAAGGGAGGTAACTTACTGAGGAATCTCTGGTGCTGTGTCAGAGCCCAAGAAAAAGTTGGTTTATGTTTTTAAACTCTAAATAGATCTAGTACTTTCTGTTTAGTAATAATTTTTAAAAGTTGAACTCAGCTTTTTTTTTCAGTTATTTATTCTTATTGTTTGTGGATACTGTGTTTTATTTTAAAATAAATAAATAATACCTTCATTTCTGTTCAGAAGTTGTCATTTATATTTTATAATATTTTTTATTACATAATATCTCATAATAAAATACCTGCCCAATATTTGGTACAAAAGTATGTAAACTAATTGCTATTTTTAATAACTTACATACTAAAAAATAATTCCCTGTTTTGTAGATGGGGATGATATTTGGAACAGCCTCCGAGCAAAGAGCATTTCTCTCAATGTTGTTCCGTCTCACTGAATTTGAGGGTGTGGTGCGTATTGATGGTGTTGATATTTTAAAAGTGCAGAAAGACAAGTTAAGAGACAAGGTCACTTACATCTCACAGGTAATGTCAAATGGTGTAATAGAACATTTCTAAAATGTTGTTAAATTTATGGAATGTTTTCATGATTTTTTAAATTAAAATTTCCATTTTAATAAAATTAAGCAAGATAACTTTAAGAAAAAAGTATAAGAATCATAGTCATTTACTAACTTTTATTAAGTGTAGATTTAACTGAAGTTTTTAAATGTTTTGTTAAATTTAATAAATTTCAGAATCCAACATTATTTATTGGTACCATAAGGGAGTGTATAGACCCAGAGAATCATTTTACAGATGCACAAGTATGGAAGGTGTTGGAGGAGGTAGCTTGAAATTTTAAAATTTTAAATTCCATGCCTTGCCATGTATATGTACAGGATCCCTAAGTTTGTTTCTTAAAGTTGACTTAGTTTTCTTACTTGCTGTTTAACTTACAATAAAAATGAAAAAGATCATTTAAAAAATTGCTTACATATGAAATTTTCAGATATTTTAGTTATGTAAATAATTCCCATACTAAATTAGTGATTACAAATAGTCAATCTTAAAAATTCTATTAAATAAATTAAACAAGAGCTAATACTTTTAGGTACATCTCTCCATACTGGTCCAAAATCTTGGCCAAAAACTGGCCACCGACATAGCTCCACTGGCAGATGGGATGACCGTTGGCCAGAGACAGCTGTTGAGGCTAGCAGGGGCCATGTTGCAGCAGTCCAAAATTATTATTTATGAAGAGCCAAGTTCTAGTCTAGACATAATGTAAGTTATATAATGCAAAGTTAATGCCTACATTTTCGTCAGAATTTTGTTTAAAAGTTGGTCGGACTCAATGGCAGTACCATTTTAAAATTATTTTTAAACCATTCATACACTTTTTATTTTATTGCAGGTGCAATATAATAATTCAAGGAGTCTTACGTACACAGTTCCCAACCAGTACAGTCATTCATATAGCACACTTACCTGATTCTGTTATACACACAGACAGGATTATGGTAAGACACAATGCAGACTATTTCTATTTGAACAAATATTTACCTAAGATAAAAGACATTCAAAAGTTTGTAACTAATCTGTTTGATGTGGACAAAAATTTAATTATTACAGATGATGCAAGATTTTACCAGTGATCATTTTACTAGTAAATTCCATAAAATCTTCTAGGACTTTTTAAAAATTAAAAAAAAAAATTAATGTTTTTAGCCTCTAAATTCAAAAATGTTTATTTTTTTTCATAAATTAATAATTAAATTAGCTGCTTGTACAAAAAAATGCTGTTTGAGTTTTATATGTGAAATAAATGTGTTTAAATTTGTCATTTTTTAACAGATATTTTCCGAGGGGAGGATCGCGGAGGTAGACACACCTTTTTACCTGCTACAAAACCCAAACAGTAAACTAAGCAGCATGGTGGCAGACCTGGGGTCCACCCAAGCAGAAAACTTGAACCAGCTGGCGTTAAACAAGCATGAGAATCGTCCATACGTGGCGCCTCACATTGATCCTGAAGATTTCCAAGACTTCTCACCTCCTCTGGGAGGGGATCTAAAATCCCCGAACAATCTAAACGTTCTGCCGACCTTTCATTCGTCAAGACTTGCCGGAGTTTTGAACCAGCTGCCCACGAACAAATTTTCTACAGATAGGTTATAACTTCAATGACATACAGCTTTATCTGTAACAAAAATAAAACTGCACAATTGTAAGACTATATATAAAAGCTTATGTATTTTGGTGATGTAATATTTTGCTTGTGTTTGCTTCTAACCTACATTTTCTAACAGGTAGTAGCATTCAACAACAAATATAATTCTATATGTAAAATAATTAATGTAATATATAACCTTTATCAATGCATAAAAATTGTTTTGCATTTTGTTTAAACAATGATTATTTAGCAACTGGAGTGCTGTTTTTAATTTGATCTGCTAATTTTATCTTGCGCTGTTGAAAATATTGATATAAGACTTGTTGAAAGAAAGCTACCATTCTGATATATTTTTGGCAGCATTAACTAAATATTTTATTACATGATATATAATATTTTTTCCAAAGTGCACATTAAGTAGCTCATGAAAACTTTAAAAAGTCACATTTTAGATACTTTTTGTTACATGCAGTGTTTTCTACATGAATATTTGCTTACTTTATATATAGTTTATATCTAAACTAAATTTCATTTATTTACTGTTATGTTACAGCTAAAGTATAAACTACAATTGTAATTTGCTTTTAGTTATGTTTTTGAACACTTTTAATGTAAGCATTTAAAATTTAAATGCTGCAACATTTATTTTTTACTAAAAGATTTGAATTATAAGAAAACAAATTTACAACTTCTTAAATTCCCCAATGGTACTATTAAACAGCTCTGTTTATTTTAAATGTGTATTTTGATCTTGTAAAAAAAATGTTAAATACCAAAGAGATTTATGTTATTGAATTGTTTACTTCAGTATATTTATATTGTCCTCAGATTTCATATCCTATAACTAATGGCTTTATCTCAAATAAAATTGTCTTAATTTTCATTTAAATAAGATATAGCAACAACAGTTGTGGAATATATATTAAAATGTCTAATACAAATAAAAATGTTAATATATGCAAACCAATCTGTTGTTTTATTTCATGAAGAGTTAATGTTAGCTGATTACATTATTGATCAAAATAATTACTCTAATTATCACTTTTATTGCTGGACTTGAAATTTTGACCCTGTAAATTTTGTACATGTGCTTTATGTATGCAAAGTTATATTAAAATATTTGCAACTTGAAAGGGTGAATTTTTGTTTGACCCTTAAATTAGTCAATTGTTTAGTTTGACAACCAAGATATATATATATATATATTTATATATGTATACGTGGCGACCAGAAAAATGCAAAGAATCTCCACATGTAAACTGTAGCATTATAAAACATCTTACCTTGAAATATGACGGGATGATATAAGTTTGTATTTGAGTAGGGAATCGTAAAAAATATATATGAATACATATATATATACGTATGTATAAATAAACAAAGACAAATAAAATACAAAACTAACTTTGATATAAACATTGTTTATTCTTTTGTGGAGGTATATAACATATTGCACTATAAGTTTCTTAAACTTCTGAATGAAATTATTATAACTTAACACCTTTTTAAAAAAAGCGACAAACATGACAAACCTAAATGTTCAGTTATTTCAAGTTATTCTAATGAAAATTAAGCATGAATATAAAATGTACTATGCTGTATTCAGATAAGAATCTAATTTAGATTTACTACAGATGCCTAGATCTTCAAACATAGAAGTTCCAAAGTATGTCACATTTACTCATAGCAACCATAGAAAACAACTAAGACACATATGCCCTAATAATTGTCAGTTTTTTTTGTACAGCAAGCTGGAAAGCTTTTGTTATTTTTTATAGTGCAAAAAATATCACAAATCAAAGGGGAATAACTTAGATTAGACATTATACAAAATATTAAAGAATTCTAATTAACTTACATTTGGCGTGTAATGAAGACTACATTTTTCTACCAGCCACAACAAGTATAAACTAAACAAACCTACCTTTCAAAAAATACTATTAAAAAAAATTATTATACACCTTCAATTTTGCGCAGTGATTTTAGAATTAAAGTTTGTTAATACTTTCAATGCTTTAAAAAATATTTTATTTATATACTTTGTCACAACAGTTTCACAAACTAAGATACAAAAATAAGAGTATAAAATGTACTAAGTACCGGCCCTCATATTCCCATCAAGAGAAAAATTAAAATGCATCAATATGAGGTAGAAAATGCAACAACTATCTGTGCAACATTTGTTATGCATTGAATATTTACATGACTAGAAATAAATATTATGTCATGGGAAGTTAAGAAACATAAAAGATAATGATAAAAAATAAACAGCTTACTTAAAGATTGATGATACCATATATCATGATAATAACAAACACAATTAAATATAACATACAGCATGACATATTTAAATAATAACATACACAGTAAACAATTACAAATATAAATACAAATATACATCTTCATAAACGATATAAATAATGAATATTATAATGTTAAAGGCACATATGGTTTGTAGATGAGAAATAACTGTACAAATGACATTTTCTGAACACTTGAAGCACAACGAAATTTAAATCATATTCATAAAACTTGAATTTTGAAACAATTTTAAAATAAGTTTCAAATATAGATAACATTTTTTTTTTAAAAGCATTCCACAGGAGCAAAAGAATGTGACAATATTAACAAATCACTCGGCTTTGCTTAACATCAATTTTATAAAATTTATTTCTGTTTATTACTAATTAAATAGCTAGAAAGAAAAGCTTCAGAATAAGTTTTTTTAAGTTAAAAGTCAGTAATTAATAAAAATGTTTTCTTTACCAAAGTTCAAGAAAATATTAGTGAAGTTTACTTTAAATAATATATGATGCTAGGTCCTAAAAGATTTATTTTCAAGCTAATTTTCAAATTAAATGCTTCAAGTAAACCATGTAGTTTCAACAGCAAAAACACTGGAAGACAAGAATTGGATAATATTACCTAACCTAATTGTTTCAATATTTTTTTTCTACAGTTTTAAAAAATTTACAACCTTATCAAGTATGTTCTTTTAAAACATCAGAATATACAATGATAAAAGTCAATAATAAGTTAAATAAGAGACAGAAATTTAACCTTTTATAAATCACAGTTTAAAACATTGCAATTTTTTTTTTTTTTTTTTACAAAACTCAAGAATTTAAATTAATTTTTTTGTTATACAAGGAAGCAATAATTTAATAAGTTTTTTATATTCTTGATTTGTTCCTTTTTTATCAAACATAGATTTGTGATTTTGTTTTCCCTTAGGAAGGAATTTCATTCAGCTAAATTTAAAGATGGAATGTCTGCTCATATTGTTAGCAGTATTCAAATGTAGATTAAAATACAGTAGATTAGAAAATGAGAGACATAAACCTTACAGCCCTAACTCATTCTAAACGCAAGCTCTATAACACTCTGAGAGGCTGATGCATAGAAGCACACAAATGTTTCTTTTAATGTTGGTCTTTTCAATCTGCGCCTGTGAAATAGTTAATCTATTATTAGGAATTACAGACATTTTTTATTATTACAAGTTACATGGCATATTCTTTAACAATATACTGTTTGAACATGAAACTGGCCAAGGAAAATAATATTTATTTTCTAATAATGATATTTTTAAAAAGGAACATAATAAAATATTTATGTCCACTTTAAAATTAAAATGAAAAGCAATTTACAGGACAAAGAACATAGTTTACTAAGCTGAGTTCTAAATAAAAAATAACATACCTTCACTGCTTATTTAATTTTTAAAAATCATTTAAAATGCTAAAATAAATTATTAATATCATCAATGTAACTACTTTTTTTTTTCAATATCAGCTTTCGCTAGTATCTTTTGAATTTTTCCAGCGAGACTTTAACTATTTAGTATTTATGAGGAAATGAAAGTTCAGGTGCATTACGGTGATGAGGACTGAACATAATCTCAGATACATTGAACAGTAAAGGGTTAAAAATGATCAAATGAATATGGTACACATGATATAAATAAACATTAGGAGTTACTCACCCTACTACCCAGTATTCTAATGGTTGTCTGCTCTTGAGTCCGTTTTCCTTACAGTGGGGGTTAAAAGTGAGTAGAATCCCATGCTCCTGAGCTCCCCTTAGGTGAGGTTCCAACTGCATTGTGTCATAGCTTTCTTCATCATCGCTGTCACATGACATATGTTTCTGTGAAATATAACACACTTAATTAATTACTGTATAACAATCATGGGACAGAATGGCATAGTGAGTCTAAAGGTCGAATCCGGGTTCAAACAGCTTTGATGGTTACCTAAGTCATGTTAGGGAAAGTAAAGGTGGCTGGGCATAGTGCTGACCACACTATCCTTTCATATGCCGAGTTCACAGAAACCGGTGAACTCTACTTCTTGCCCCATAGACCACCAGGTTTGGAAGTGGAACTTAAATTTACTTTTCTTATAACAATCATTAAACAGGATTAATTTTAACAACTTAAATTATAGAAAATTGATCATAGTCATTAACCTTAAGTTTATTTGCTTTTAGAAATTGTAAAAGTTATGCATTCCAAATTTTAAAAACATGAAACTAATAACTATATAAAAAAGCAGCTACTTACAGATTTATCTCCCATGTCCATAAAGAAATCATGAACCTGTCGACATGCCAAGTAGAAGTTTTGAATAATCTGGCTGTGAAAAATGCCAGGGGTATCAAATTCAGACCCTGAGACAAATGTCCCTTCTAAGCCATCAAGATAACAGTACTGGTAAATTGTTGGGTTGCGACAACTAGAAATTCTGAAAAATAACAACACATTCTTTTATGGAAATCCAACACAAATACAAGGCAGCAAGAATGATTTTTAAAAAAAATTAAAATATACTTTTGATGACACAACTAGAGAGGGTTTTAGTAAGAACATTACTTTGTAGCATCGCAACAAGTAAACCAAGGGAAAAACAGAATGATTTAAAACAACACATGGTTTGTATGAAAGGAAATGCAGGGTGGCAAGAATAATTTCAAAAAATTAAAATTTCAATTTAATAACAATACTAGGAATTCTGAAAAGAGCTTTACTTTGTAGCATTGTAACATGTAAACAAAAAACAGGTTGATTTAAGAAAACACATGAATTATATGAAAGGCAATGAAGCTGAGGCTACCTGGAGACCATAGGCATGTTGGAGAGAGAATTAGGAACACTGTTGTTGGATGCTCTGGTGTGTATAGGACTTGTCAAAGGATATGCTTTACCGGCAGTGGAACTCTGTAGACAAACAAGAACAATGGAATCAAGAAAATTAAATCATCTTCATGATTACTGCACTGGTATACAAACTACAGGGGATGGAGTGGTTTACGGTAGAGCGTCAGACTGCTAACCCGAAAGTCTCAAGTTCAAATCTGGGTTCAATTCAGTAGAATGTGCCTGAGTCCACCTAACTCTGATTGGTATCTGACTCACATTAGGGAAAGCAAAGGCGCCTCGGTGTCAAGCTGACTGCACTATCCCTTCATTTTTGAAATGGTAAAAATTTCAAGAAACATGGACTCTACTTCATCTAACCCCAGAATGGCTCGGTCTAAAGAGGAATCTTTACTTTTATACAAACAACAAATCCTAAACTAACTCCTGCATGACAGATAAAATATTCAGTTGCTAAAAAGTATTCAATAAAATGGTAATGTTTCAAACTTTTGCAGGTCATATCTGATCTGAGCTATGTTTTTACCAGTACCGCTTAGTTAACTCCTGATTCTGCCATCTATCTAAAACAACCATAATGCTGATCCTACCCCTAACCCTGGATTTAATCCTTTTCTTAGCCCTAGTTCTAAAATAAATACTAAGGAAAAGCATTTCAATAAGATACTGCACTGTCTTTTCAGCCTGCTTACAAGAACCATAAAACGTACATACCTTGAAAGAAGAATCAGGGGTTTTAAAACTGTTGATAAGTGAAGGATTATCCACATGTGATCTCCAATCAGAATGCATAGACAGCATAAAAGAACTGCTTGGGCTTCTCTGCTTCTGATTATCAATAAAAAGTTGCGCTGTCTTCTCACCATTAGTGTGAACATAGGTGGCGCAGTAGTCAGACTTGGTGAAGTCAGATTGTGACTCCTTACTCACTCTGAGTAGATAAATGTGAAAACAAAAATTAGAATCAGGAGTTCAACAAAACAAAAGTAATTTGTTAAATTGTATTAATTAACAAATCATATCTAAATAATCTAACTAAAACAGATTTGCCTAATTAAGTAAATAATAAGCTGATTACTTAATTAAAATTACCTAGCTATGAACAAGACTTGCATAGTTAGGTAAGTAATAAACTGATAATTTTATTTCAATTATCTGGCAATGAACTCATTAAGCCTTAACCAAGTGTATAGTTTGTACACAATACCTGAGATTCAGTTCTGTGAGTAATTGTGGAGCCTGTAGCTGTAACAGGCAAGCTTTTGCTTGCTCTACATAGAACACATCAGCGGTTAAAGGGGTTGGGTTTCTGAAGAAAAAAGAAAACAACATGCAACATTAAAACCAGAATTATTGAATAAAGGAATGATTGCTTTTCTTAAATAAACCGGTAGTGATCTCCCCTAAACTTTCTCGAATATTCTTATATAAAACAACAGGGGATGGTAACTGGGGATATAGTTATGATTTTTACAAGCTTTTATTTAACTCACTTCCTCTGTCGTCAGTCTGTCGTCAGTCTGTCTAGACGGAAACGCAGGAGTGAAAATTCGGACAGTTCTACTTGACCGACACGATTCACAGTTGGCACGTGGGTCAAGACATGAAGACAATGCAATCTGAAACTAAATTTGACTTAATTGGATGCCTAATTGATTTTTTATGAATTAATTAAAATTTGGACCGAATTAGTAGGCATGTCTAGCCAACCACACCACACGCGTCATCAATAGCTGCGCCATCACGACCACGTAATGGCTGCGTTCAAAAACCATTGCGCGCCTACTGAACGTGATATTCAGTAGGCGCGCAATGGTTTTTAGTCATGTAACTCTATTGTAGATAAAACATGTAAAGTACTGAAAAAAAAATTCATAAAAAACGTTTTAATAAGAAGCTTTTATGTAATGATGCACTAAAAAGTAGAAAATAAATTATAGACTACTATTTAAATAACTATAAAGAAAAGCGTGGGTGTCTTCCTTAACATTAGTAAAGGTATCCAATAGATACTAAAGTGACCCACGCTTTTCTTTATAGTTATTTAAATAGTAGTCTATAATTTATTTTCTACTTTTTAGTGCATCATTACATAAAAGCTTGTTATTAAAACGTTTTTTATGAATTTTTTTTACAAGCTTTTATTTAACTCACTTCCTCTGTCGTCAGTCGTCAGTCGTCAGTCTAGACGGAAACGCAGAAGTGAAAATTCGGACAGTTCTACTTGACCGATACGATTCAAAGTTAGCACGTGGGTCAAGACATGAAGACAATGCAATCTGAAACTAAATTTGACTTAATTGGATGCCTAATTGATTTTTTATGAATTAATTAAAATTTGGACCGAATTAGTAGGCATGTCTAGCCAACCACACCACACGCGTCATCACCTTCAATAGCTTCAATGGCTGCGTTCAAAAACCATTGCGCGCCTACTGAACGTGATGTTCAGTAGGCGCGCAATGGTTTTTAGTCATGTAACTCTATTGTAAATAAAACATGTAAAGTACTGAAAAAAATGCATACAAAACGTTTTAATAACAAGCTTTTATGTAATGATGCACTAAAAAGTAGAAAATAAATTATAGACTACTATTTAAATAACTATAAAGAAAAGCGTAGGTGTCTTCCTTAACATTAGTAAAGGTATCCAATAGATACTAAAGTGACCCACGCTTTTCTTTATAGTTATTTAAATAGTAGTCTATAATTTATTTTCTACTTTTTAGTGCATCATTACATAAAAGCTTGTTATTAAAACGTTTTTTATGCATTTTTTAAAATCCATTTTAAATACTTAAACTTTTAAAAATAGAATAGAATCTCAGTAAAAAACAATTGCGCACCAAGCGAACGCCTAATAAAGGTGTGTATAATAGTGCGCAATAGTATTAGTACTTAATAAATTTACATTAGTTTTTTGAGAAATCGGAAGTAGCGTAAATTACTACTTCCGGTCAACGGAAGCTACTCAAAATTTAACATAAGGTAGAGAATTAGATCTTATACTTACTTGTGGAATTTCATTTATCTATCTGAAATAGTACTCAAGTTATAGGCTTTTGAAAAATTCAAAGTAGAAAAAGTACCACTTCCGGTTATTGGAAATCGCTCAAAAGTTGATACGGATCTACGATTTTGATAAAATACTTATATGTGAAATTTCATCAACCTAGCTGTAACGGTACTCAAGTTATCGTGTTTACACACGGACACACACACACACAGACATACGGACAGAATTGCAAAGCCCAGTTTTTCAGAGTGGATTACGCATAAAACCTCTTAGTTTTGATAAATCTGGATTGATAATTTTTGCCCGATTAAAATAAGTCCTCTAAACTTCGGATGTGATGAAGGACTGAGGTGTAATACGGTGAAAGATGTTAAAATTTCAAGTGATTTTTGTGCACGATTACAATACTTTCTCTATACTTCGTATATACGAGAAAGTAAAAACAAAACAATCATTCTCAGGGAAAAAAATAACACAACACAAAAAAATTCAATTAAAAAAATAGGTATGAGTATTTATCATGCAGCACATGAATTATGGAATAAACTTTACAAGTGACTCTACTTACAGTGTTGAGAGTTTGATGGTTTCTAACAAACAACAGAACAGACCATGTTTCTGTGGAGGGTGATCATTTAAAATGTTAATAAAACTCACATTATCTTATCTAATTAACTAATTAATAAAAAAAAAACCCTGACAGTCTCCCCCCCCCCCCCCCCCCCATATTCATTATCTCTTTTGGAACAGGACAGCATTCAAATTTAATATTGCATATGATAGGTTCCATGACAAATGATCTCAGTCAAAATATCCTAGACAAAATATCTCACGGACAAATGATCTCAGACACAAGATATAAATATGTAGACCTTGTACTCCATTAAACACCACCTCGGTTACTAGGAATATTCTTGGTTAACTGAGCTCAACGATCACTACAGATATGTAACCAGATTAATGAGAGCAAACTTAAAATTAACCCCACTGATATTGTAGAGGATAGACTTTATTTAAAACATATAAACAAATTAATTTTCTCTAGCAAAAGTTTGAAAAATAAATGATCAACTTTTAAAATGTGAACACAAGTATTAAAACAAGTGCAACTATGAAAACTTACGAGGCCAACAACAAGCAGACACCACCTAGAGTTAGGCTCGGAGTAGCCGAAGCTGTTGTTGATCTCCGCGATGTCGCTACAAAACCTGGTGGGGTACACCTCTCTCCAGGCCACAAAGTGAGCAACACTAGAGCGGGACGTCACGTCCAGTATACCCAGATGTTGCAGGTACACGTACACATCGCGTAAATCCTGGGGGGATAGGTGGCTACAGACGAGGTGACCAGAGTAGATGTAAGCTGACCCGAGGATGTTGTACTGGCGCCGACAGCCATAGTAGCACTCAGACTAAAAATGGATGAAAGAATATTCATTGATAAAAATATACATATTATTTTTATAGCGATTTCTTGATATAAATGATTATGTTCATAATTCTTAATGAACAAAAGGATTCACAAAAAAAATTAGTGAATTTACTTCATTTATTTTGGAACTTAACTATTTAAGAGACATGTTAATATAACAGATAGTTATAACATAACTGACACATAATCTTAGCAAAATCTAAGTTTATATTTTAAATTGCATTTAGTTATACAACTGGAAAATGTATGAAGTTAATGATAATATGTTTAAAAATAATGTTTCTTCTTTTAAGAAATAAGCAACTACAATTTAATGGTCTAATATAACTTACCATATTTGCAAAATCAGAAGATTCAAATTCATTCATAATCTTTTCAAAAACTATCTGTTTAAAATAGAAAGAAATGCTTTCATTCACTGTATGCTTTATATGAAAATGTAAGTTATTAAAAATAAAATTTATATTCAGTGAAGTTATGAATAACAATTTTAAAGATATACCACTTCACTAGCTATCTAAACAAACTTACTGAGCTGATAAATTTAAAGATATAACACTCCACTATGTACTTAAATAAACTTACTGTTCCTATAAATTTAAAGATATACCAATCCAATAGTTATCTAAACAAACTTACTGTTCTGATAAGTTTAAAGATATCCCACTCCATTATGTATCTAAACAAACTTACTGTTCCTATAAGTTGAAAGATACCACACCACTAGCTATCTAAACAAACTTACAGTTCTGATAAGTTTTATAATATACCACTTTACTATGTATCTAAACAAACTTATTGTTCTGATAAATTTAAAGATATCCCACTCCACTAGCTATCTAAACAAACTTACTGTTCTGATAAATTTAAAGATATCCCACTCCACTAGCTATCTAAACAAACTTACTGTTCTGATAAATTTAAAGATATACCTCTCCACTAGCTATCTAAACAAACTTATTGTTCTGATAAATTTAAAGATATCCCACTCCTCTAGCTATCTAAACAAACTTACTGTTCCAATAAATTTAAAGATATACCACTCTACTAGCTATCTAAACAAACTTACTGATAAGTCATCAGTGAGACCTAAAGACGGCACATGCTGTGAGTGTCTGATAAAGGGAGAAGCCTCCACACTCAACTTTTGCTTGAACACTGACCCAGCTGACAGGGAGGCAGATGACAAGGTTGCCTGCAACACTTGCCGAAACAGGTACGTGAGAACTGCGTCAAGGAAGGCAGTGTGTGATTTATTGCAGAAAACTGACTCAAGCGTGCCAAATAGCAGTCTAAAAAATCTGGCATACTCATTTAACAGGGTATTGAGTTGGGATATTGAAATACTGAAATAGAAAATGTTACAGTTAAAACAGTGCACATGATTTGTTTAAAGCTGTGTCAATAATAATCATAAAATATTTTACAAACAACTTACATTGAAGCAGGCATGGCAAAGACTAGAATATCACTACATTCTTGGAGATAGGCTACATTCATTCTCTGTTTATCAACCATCAAAACAGTGCTAAAAAATAAATTGAAAATGAATAACAAATCAAAAATTTAAATTAACATTCCATTATGTACAATACAATTGGACTACAATATTTTAGATTATTTGATAAAAAAAAACTTAAAGCGAAAATATTATTTAAAAATATTTCCAACCCTGATTTTTGTTTCTTAGATGTTAAGCTTACTTTTTGATAGAATTTGTCTTATTGATGTCTTTAATCAAATGTGCTAGTGTGTAGAACATGCCTTGCAGTTGATGAAGACAGTTCTTCTCAGAGGGAAAGCTGTACGCTAAACCATCCTGTTCATTAAACAGATATTTGAATTACAATTTATTATTTAAATAGTAAAAAAAAAAGCATTCCTCTTCATAAAAAAGTATATATATTGGAAAAAACTTTTTATAATTTTAAAATCACTTAAAATTTTGTTTTTATAGAGCCACAAGATTAGAGTCAATAAACCAGTTGATTCTTTATAGCAGACATTCACACAAGTTAAACTTTTATCTCAAATTCCAAACAACTTATGCAAACATAACTCTTAAGTGCTTAGGAAAGCTTTATTACTATGTGAGAAAAGAATAACAAATAAATCCTAAAATAAGGTAATTTTAAATTTTCTATTACAATTAACTACAAGTAGAAACATTGTTCAAATAATCAATAATGCTTTGACATTGATTTGATCAATGTTAGTGTGTAATTTACTTTGTTTGAGTTATAACAATTGAACGTTCCCACACTTTAGAAATGAATAAGACTTTGTTTTCACGTGGCACCTTTATCTCCTTCATTTATCTTTCCCCTGTCAATCCCACAAGCACCTTTCATATACTCCCACATTAATCTTAATCCACCTTAATCCCCTGGGGCTAGGGTAACAACCTTACCTTGGTGTTGGTGGGATCATCAGGACTGACACCCTCCAGGGATATATACATAGCCGCCATGTTATCCAGAACCAGCTGGTCATGAGAATCTGAGGTCAGTATGTGAACCAGGCCTTCAAAGTCAACCGTCGAGTTTTCAGGTTTCAATGACTTCAGAGTCAGCCTCACCTGTTGGTTTAGTTCAAAGCAAGTGGTTAGAGCAATTGTACATCCAAACAACTTTAAAACAAAAACACTCTAGAAATTATACAACATAAATAAATCACTATACATAAATAAATAGAATAATTTAAAAAAAAAAATGTATCAGTTTCATAAAAAAAAAATTAATATAGGCCTAATTGTAATTAGAAAGTATAAAAAGGAATTTTTTTTAATAAACTAAAGAGACTACTGTGTCAACGTACCTTTCTAAGCTTACACAAACTAGAGAGTAATGTGTCCATATTGTACCAAGTAAGTTCTTGTCCGTTAATGCTATGCAACCAGCTACCTACAGTTTACAAGAACAACAAAAAAAAATCTCTTAAAAATCAGGAACATTTTGAAAAAATATAAAATGGTGAAAGGTGATCAGGTTGGAGAAAAATGACTAAAAATAACTTAGATAACAAATGGCTAGTATTTCTGATTTATAAATTTAATGGCATAGAAATTACTATTCAGTGTTATGTATGCAACAGATATCCACTGGATCAAAGATAATGACAATAAATAAAATTTACATATGATTAGCATTATATGTAAATCTTTAATAAACCCTTGGGGGGATTTTTTATACCAGTATCTGAGAATAGAATCTTCTTTAAAAAGGGGTGTTAGATTACAGGTAAACTAAATACACACATGGCTTGCTAATGATAATGCTTACCCTGTCCCTAACCCTAACCCTAGTCCAACCAAATGCCTAACCTTTACTTCTAACCATAAAACTAGTAGAGATTACAATACTACTAACAAACTAACACATCTATTTTCGAAAGAGTCTGTTATGGGATATCAGTATCCTCAACAATCCAATACTTGTTTTGTAACATATAAAAATTAAAGCAGCAATTTAAAAATACTTACCCACAATGGCCTCTGAGCTTAAGGCACTATCACAATCAGATGTCAAGGCCTTGACTATCACTTCTGGACTTTGATTCCTCCCCATGATGTGGCTGTCCTCATTACACGTGGGAATAATTCCAAGAATCTGCTCACACAAAACAGCCCCTGTTGCACTATGGCAACTCTGTAATGGTTCTCTGCTTTTTAATGCATTCACCTTAACATCAACATTCACTGTTTTCCAATCAATGAAACTGTCATGTCTCTTTTTAGTACTCAAACTTAATCCTCCAGAAGGTTTACTTTTTAATTTGCTATTTCTAGTCAACTCAGGTCTAGGTAATAATTTACCATCATTAAAATTGTTTATTCCAAAGGAAGACCTAGAGTTTGTTGAGATGCTGCTAGTTTTACTGGATCTAAGATCTGATTTGTTTAAAAATATTCCATCGTCGCAAGCCTCTTCATTAGAGAGAGATTTAACAGAAGAGTCGAAGGCTTTACGTTTTGATGAAAAAAAGTCTTGATGTCTCCCTTTTTCATGGGCTTCTGAATGGGAGAAAACTGACGAAACAGATGACAGTGATATTCTGGGGCTATTATAACGTGTGTTTCCACTTTTGGGATGGTGAATGTTGCTAAATTCATTTTTTATTACTGCCTCAGGCTTAAAAACATTCATGCAAGAGTGTTCAGATGTGTTTAGGTCCTGATCAGAGGAGTATCCCGTATCCTCACTGTTACATCCAATTCCCAACGCAAGGCTGCTAACAGATCCACCATCACCACTGCTTAGGCGAAGAAGTTTTGTCTCTAGCCCCGCAGGCAGCTCTAGGTGAAAGATTTCTCCATTCTCTCTAGCCGAGGTCAACCACAGTGGGGGCCGCTTTGAAAGAGATGGCCTAGCTATTAAACTGTTGAGACAAAAAAATTTGAAACTAATTTACAAAATATCTAGATCTACAAATAAAACATTTTAAACTACAATCATAAATTTAAGAATAATTAAACCACAATTGTGATAGATCTACTAAATATCAATATAGCCATATTGCAGGGATTTAAGGTTTGAGAAAATTTAAGTAAGTCAATACAATTACAATGCATCCATAAAGTCAGTTTAAAGACATCTGCCCAGCATACTATCAAAGGGAATATCAAATATTAAAAATTTTCTGACAGTAAAAAGTTGAATGTGTATTACATTAGAACAGATGTAATGTATAGGCCTATTTGTAATTATTATTTTGGATTACTATGATATGGGACATCCATAAATCTCTTTTTTTATATTGACTTTATTAATCTTTTAATTAAATGTTAATGACTAATCTAATTAGATTAAAAATTAGATATTGTTGCATTGTCATTATAGACATACATTTCTGAAACATATCTGGAAAGTTTTAACAAAAGCGCTGCATCAAAAGTGGTTCAACATAGAGTTCAAAATTAATTTGACACAAACAAAAATATTTATCAGATATAGGCCCTAAGCTTTTTTATACTCAATTGGATCTGAGCCTACAAGCTATAATTATGAATGATGGTCCTGAAACTGACAGATTTTTTTTTTCATTAGGCCTGGTAAAAATACTGGTAGTAGTGGTAGGGCCTACATCTATATTCTAGTCTAAAGGCCTAATTATTATTCGAATTATTATAGCCAAATAAAGCTTGTATTCATAGAAAAATTGTTAGGTTGTTTGCCTCTGTAAATTCTTACAACTTAAATAGTATCTAGACTAGATCTAGATTTGTTTTCTTATTTTCTTCAGCTTTATTTTGAACTTTGTGTAAGACAAAGTGGACTAAAAATAAAGTATGTTTTGGCTTGTGTCAATAAAAATGATCTGGCTCTAGCTAGATCTAGTAGTAGTAGCTAGCTAGCGCTGATGTCAAAACATTAAGGCAAAAATTAAAAGAACAAGATATTATGAGACAAAAAGACTATTATAAATCTCGAGTTCTAGAACAATGAAAAAAATGAGATTTGGGCAAAGATTAAAGAGGCTACCTCTCTATAATTAAAGAGAAAGTATTAGAATATTTCGCTAGATCTATCCTTCTGACGGTTTGCTTAGATCTATTATTCTATATCTTGGGTTTGCTTTAAACTTTGCCAGATCATTTTGTTCAAAAGTTGCCAGACACACTTCACAATGAATCGAATGTCACTAATTCGAGTCTTTAGTTGTTTAGTCTACTTAAAAAGTAGCCCAGTCATTATTGTGCTATCGTAGATCTATCTTAAAATTTTAACACTTTAGACATTTTTTTTCCCTTTAAAATGCTGAGGTTTAATAATAACATCAGCTTAGACAAAATAGAATCCTAAATATAGAAAATTAGGTTGTACTAAATACCAATTTGATCGGAGATATGGGTCTAATTTCTTATTTTTATTTAGAACCTGTAGTGAAACGAATATAGATCTAGTTATGTAGGCTATTGCTATACAGTACATTATTTATTTCGAAAAAAAACTGTGGCTCCTGTTAGAAAAGAAACCGTTTCATTAAAAAAATAGATCTAGCCCTAATTGTAATTGGAAAGTAAATATATTTTTAAACATTCAGATCTACAAGGCTTATAATTTTTTATCATAAGAAAATAACAGGTATTCCCATATTCTTTCAGTAAAAAATTAGGCTACATAAATCTCAACAGACAAAAGCCGATTACAAATAAACCGTAGTATATTACATGTCCTTTCAGTTATCAAGCTGCCAACATTTTAAATTGCCTGGCATAAAAACGCGTCCCTACTCAAATTACCGCTATCCAGATAAAAAGAAAAACAAATATGGATCACACAAAAAAGGTATGTGGAGAGTGTGAACAAGCTAAGCCGACACACTTCAACGCTGGAACATTATTACAAACCAAGGACGTACGACGAGTAATGTTTTATACTTGAAATGAATTTATTTTCAATCAAATCCAATTGAATTATGGGATTCGATTAGATTGATTAAAATTTCGTTAGAAAACGTAAACATGTTTTCAATAAGGGGAGATTTTTTTTATCCGGGTCTTTTTCTTTCGATTGACTCGCGGCCAAAGACGTCAGAGCTTGTCACTTTTATTAACGGCATTTAAAAAGTAGGTCGTAAGTTCAATATAGACAATTTGAAAGGTTATTCAGTTAATTAAAAATAACATTTGACAGCCTGGGCCAATAAAAAAAAGAAACGGCACAAATACGGCAGAGGACGGCATTAACATTTTAATAAAAAGCTACATGATTATTGAGTTTGTACATAAACTTTCTGGTCTAAACTTTCTGGTTTGTACTTCCTGATAAGTTTCGCGTGATAAAATAAATATTATTGGTACTTTTCCGCAACGGAAAATAAATGAGTTTCCTGGACTCGTTTCAAGTTTTGACGCAACATTAGGTGGTAGGTTTTATTGGTGGTGATATGGCAAGTGTTTCTTTCAGATATTTTTATCCGGAGGTGGGTGGGTGGGAAACAGGCACGTGAAACTTTTGGGGATGGGACACACCAAAATTTCCGGGGAGACAGGGGACACTGCTTAAAGAGCACTATCACCCCCCCCCCCCCGAAGAGGCGCCTTAATTATTATCAGTAAAACAAAACAAAAACATGTAAATTATCTGCATCTTTAACCAAGAACAGTTGACGGCCTTCAAGTTAGAGCAAGTGGTTTTGTTTGCCGATAAATGATGGGCTTCTATTCTAGATAGCGGAAAAGCGCTGTTACTTAAGCTTTTTTAGCGAGTGAAAAGCTTTCTTCGAGCGTTTCCGTAAACTTTAAAAAAAAAAATGAATCCTTTTAGTATGCTATTCAGCAGACGGCAACACGGTCGTCAGCCGCGCTATCATTCATAACGTCACATCCATCAGATGTCGCCTGACACACTCTATATTCAGCCCCCCCCCCCCCTCCCTCCCGCTACATACTTCACTTGCACCGGTTCAACTTTCTAAATTTTGAATTTGAAAACACCCGCAGGGTCTTCGCATTCCATCTCTACTGAGTCGGCCTTCAACAGCACTGTAGTAAGCACGCGATCGATCAAGCCAAACTCAGCAAGGTGTAAATTGGTGTTGTTACAAAATGTACTGTGGTGCAATGGTAAATGTAATATTAACACTATCAGTTGTAGGTTAAACTAGTATTTAAAATTAAGAAAAAAAAATTATTAGGTGTCATTTTATCTAGTTTTTGCTATAAAGTTTTTATGGAACTGCGGAGACATACCATTTTTGTAAACTAAAAAATAATAAACATTAAAGTATAGGTACATTATCTAATTTATTTGTTCAATAACAGTCTTGTACAACACACGTTTTAGGTAGGTTAAATGATTATCCCATTTCTTTGTCTAATAGCCCTTTCATACAACAAATGGTATAGGTAAACGTAAAGAGCACTTTCGAACTAGGGCAGGTAAAGTAGAGTTTAGTAGAGCCCCAGTTCCAGTCACCTCGGCATATGGAGAGATAGTGTGGTCAGCACGGTGCCCAGCCGTCTTTACACGAGTCAGGTACCCAATACAGCTGGGTAGACTCAGGGACATCGTACGAAATTGAGCACAGTATGATGACAAAGCTACATAAAACTATTGTCTGATTTTGAATTCCTTGCTCGCTCGCCACTAAAGCTAAAACACTTTTACTCAAATTGTTTACTAAATAAATAGCCCACTAAACACAGTCCCTGACTTTATTCATAACCAGTGTTTCATTTTTTCTCCGGAATGGCGACTGAAATTTACGGAGGGAGCGGATATTAATAGAATTTGAAGTATATATTTTGTATAAACACATTCTATTTCTTACGGGCGGTGGGTGGGGAGAGTGGAGCGGTTGAAGTGCGATGACCACCCCCCTCTCCGCAAAGAGATGCCTGAAAGAAACTCTGTTCATGACTCTAAACATGATCGTACAGCGACACAGATAAACAAAAGCAGCTAATTCAGTAAGACTAGATTCTATGTTGTCGTAACTGACTATAAACAAACTAGTGCTGATCTAAGGCCATAGTTTCAGAACCCTTGCAAACAAACAGTTTATGTATTTTAGACAGCTGACGTGTCAGACAGTTTACCGTTCTATTAGCGGGTAATACTGGGATACAGAATCCGATTTTGACACTCAAAATACGAAGGCGCTAAAAGCCGTCGTGCCATTTATTACACAGTGAATTGAGACAGTAACGATTTTATTTCTACAAATCTAATCTACGTTCATACATTACATTTAATGGTAGTTAATGTAGTGCTTTAATAAATAAAAATAAATTGTTGTTGTTTTTACTTAAAGTTTGTTTACTTGACATGGGTGGTTGTTGGACAATGTTGGTAGTACAAATGATTGTTTATACGCAAATCTGACTCAAAATTTGGTTCCAGACTTCAAACCTAGAAAAGCGACGACTTCACAGATTGTAACTTATTGTAGGACCTACTGACCCCATCGTCCCAGTGTTTGATCTAATGGACGCTAAAAACTCCATGAGTCCACCCAGTTATGATAAATAATAGAATAGATTTATAACCCAGTTTGTAAAGACGGCTGGGCATAGGGCTGACCACACAATCCTTCTTGAGTAAAAATAAAATATAAACTTAAATTTTTCTGCCTTATAGAATGCCTGGTCCGAAAACGGTATTTGCTTTTTAATTTAAAAAACAAACAAACAAATAACGTAGGCCTATTTGGCAAATAATTATCGCTTTATTTTCTCCAAGGGAGAAAACAAAGAAGACATAATTTAAGAACTTGGATCGGCGTTGTCAGGTCGGTAAAGCTAATGGTTTGCTAAACCAAAAAGTCCTGAGTTCGAACCCCCGGACAGATGGGGCTCTTGGTTGGACATAGGTTTTGGAAGCAAATCCAGAACAAAAAGCAGGCTGGAATCGTAGTCAACGGCCTGTATAGGA